CCTGGGAGTTTTACAAACACAGACTCCAAACCATGCATGCTGAGGGCCCTGACTGTGTTTAACATGTATCCCAGGGAGGTGTCCATTGGGCAGCTGAAGTGGAGAATCCCTGCCACCACCATCAGAGGCCCAGCTGTGACAGAAGGCTAGTCCAGTGGCTGCTGTTGGGAACCTTGAAGGCTGGCCCAGACCTATATACTGAATCACCTGGTCACTCACAGAACCCCAGGATCTTTTCTTACCGTCAAGGCCTGGATGGCCTCCCACTCCTGCGGGGACTGGATCTTGTGGGCCAGCAAGCGGGTGGCAAGTGAAGGCCTGGAGAGAAGGGACAGTCATGGCTGACACGGTCACTCAAAGAGACAGTCACTACACTAGACTGCAGCACTTCAGCCCTCTACTGGCCCTGTGAAGCACATACAAAGGCCCACCTCTCTCCAGATCAAACAGGACCTGGGATGGTGACAGCCAGTGCCAGGCACCCAGTGCAGGCAGGGACCTTCAAGAGGTATACACTTAGCCCCTTTCGGCTTTAAGAACTATGACACAGGCCTGGAGATGTTGCCTACTGATAGAGCACCTGCCTAGCATGGGTGAGTGAGGCCCTGAGTTCTAATTCCTCACCACCAGAAGCGAAAGCAGCTGTGTCTCTGGCTTGCACACGGGATGGTAAGGACAGGTGACCGCAGCCTGGGTGCTAAGGCCATGCGAGGTGACGCCCAGCACCTCCGCTCCTTGCTTTCCTCAGTGGCAGGAAACCCTGTAACCCCGACATATGCATCACTGGCAGTTCCAGGCTACTACTGAGGAGAGCGAGGGTCAGAGCGGCAAACGGCTTGCCCAAGACTAATCGGAGGTGGGATTCGTTTGCCCCAGAGCCCGTGAACCCCAAACAAAGGGCTGCTGGAAGCACCTGTCCTGGGAAGGAGGGTGGAGGAGAAGCACCCTGTGACTCGGTCCCTGCGATCCAGCAGCACCAAGGAGCCTGGGAGTCCAAGCCCTCAGGGAGTCACTTCTAGGGGCAGCCCACATGTGCATTTTGGACAAGTATTCCAGGTACTTCTGGTTCTTTTTTACATGAAGGACCTTTGGGGAGGGTGTAGTCTGCCCTCTAGAAGGCCCCAATAAACCATCAGCCACATAGTAGGGTGAGATTTGACCAAGCTCGAGACTGCAGTATCTTGGTGAGATTCAAGAGCGAACTGCTGAGCCTCAGTTTCTTCACTTATAAAATGGGTCCAGGAAGGCTCCCCTCAAAGAGGGTGGCCTATGTGTAGCCTCCAGCAAAAAGTGCCACTGTCTTTGTTAACTGTGGGTGCATTTAGAATGGAAACCGGGTCTCTAGCCCGCCCAAGACCAGGTTCTGGAGTGTGCATGACAGGACACTGTGTTCTGCTGTGTGTGTCAGCCAAGTGGAGCCACCTACCCCTCAAAGTCTTCGTTGAGCTGTTCGCAGAAAGCGTTGATGCTGGCCCAGTTCAGCTCCTTGTTCAGGGGATTTGTGGCTCTGTCTGCAGGAGCAGAGGGAGTCAGTATGGGCTAGTGGCATTTCTGCCTCTCCTTACTCTTCCCTGCAAGGTCAGGAGGGACTGAACACATGGGAGAGGCTTCCCTCCATTTCTGGCTGGACAGCCCCAAGTCTGAGCCCCGACATTCCAGCCAAGTCAATGGGCAGAAGCACACAGGGCTGCTGCTTACCCTGTCTGTCCACCCAAGGGCCCCACCTCCAGAGACGACAGCCAGGGACCACCTTCCATGGTTGGACCCACCATGCTGACTTTACCATCTCTGATTCTGTTCTCGAGAACAGCATCCCCATTCTCCTGGAATCTGTACTCAGGAGATTTAGGGGTAAGGGAAAGGTCAGGGTCCTGGTCCTTGAAGAACTACAGGCTGGGCAGTGGGCCAAGAAAAGCCAGGCTCTCAAGAAAGGGTGAGTGGCCAAGAAACCATAGGAACCCAGAGCAGCAGACTTGGGTCAGCCTGGGGCCAGGGCAGCTGCCCAGAGGAGATAACATTCCAGCTAAGTCTGGAAGGAGTTAACCAGGCTGAGGGCTCATCTGCCCAGCTAAGGACACGAGCCTGGGAAATGTTGTACCCTGGACCTCAGGCCTAGTTCTGCCAGACCTTGTCCCCGGGGAGTGGCTCAGGAAAACCTCTTCTGACGGTCCTCTCTAGTCCCTCGCTTCTGCCCAGGGTGGCAGTGGTTATGTCCCTGACTGTTCTTTGCTGTGGGCCCAAGTGGACTGTTACACAGTGCTACTGTGACCTCTGCCACCGTGAACACACCATCTCCCCTCAGTGTGTGAGAGAAGGAACGGATGGAGGAGGGATCAGTGGTAGGCAGGATGAGGCCGGGAAAGTTGGAATGCAGGAATGAGTAACAGCAAAGAGGAGCGTGGTCAATAATACCAGACAATCCCCTTCTCGAGCCCCCAACACTGGCCAAGTGAAGGTCTAGTATGTAATACAACCTCCCTGAACCCCATTTCCCCACTCGTAGAGCGAACCAATCACAGGTCGAATGAGAAATGCTTCGTGCGTGGTGAGGTTGCAGTGTCCCCCTGGTGCCCAGATACTTCTGCCCATGCTGGGGGTGCAGAAGGTCACAGCCTAAGAGGTGGGGCTGTGAAAGATCTGTAGACGGGAGGAGGCTAGGGCCCAGTATGTGGCACCCGCCCAGCTGGGGATCTATGCTATGCCTGGGGGCCTAGACACCCTAGTGCCTGGCAGCTATTCACTCGATCCATATTTATTTTTAAAAAATACAGTGGTAGACAAAAGCCCTGCTCTCCTGAAGCTCACTGGCCTAAACAAGGCAGTGCTGACGACTCAGATTAGCGATCACAGAAGGGCTGGCTGTAAAGACGGGCAGAGTGGGCAGAAAGAATGGGAGGCCCTGGGTTAGACTGCTCTCTCCTAGGGGCTCAGAGGCAATATGGCTGGGCAGAGGGCTGAAGAAGAGTTATCTTGGTACAAATCTATCCCACAAGCCTTGCGGGGACCCTCCAGTCCTTAAAAGGAACAGAAGTCACCAGTGAGCCCCCAGCAACACCAGGGACATCTCCTGCTTCCTCGGGGAAGGCTGCACATTTACTGTCCCCCACAATGGCCAAGGACTGAACACTGGAAAGGGGACAGCTGGGAAAAGGGCTAAAACAGGAAGTCCTTCGAAGTGTCAAAGGCATGTGAGCTCCAGCGAGGGTGGAGCCAGTCAGAGCCAGGGAAAAGGAAACTCTGACTGCCCAGACCAGCTTCTCCCCAGCATTCAGCAAACTAAGGATCTTAGAGCGGGAGGAGACAGGCCCCCTCCCTTCCCCCCAGTCTCCACCTGGGGGAGCATCTCCCCTGGCAGGTGGCAGGGAAGAGTACTTGAGGAGGGGTGTTTTACAACTGGGTGTGACTCTTCTGATGGTGAAAGCATCTATGGTCCTCCCTAGAAGCTACCCTTTACCTGTAACCTCCTGAGACCTGTGAAGTTGTGGTATCTCCAGTCCACCGCCAGTGAGTGTCTTCTCCCACCCTCCCCTCCCCCACTGCCAGGCTGACTCTCCTACATTCCCCCAGATGGTGTGGTTTGGATTCAGTCTCCTGGTTCAACTCTGTTCCAGACTGGCTTCAAAGGTGCTGGCCATGACTTCCCACATCACCCTGCACAGGTCCTTGGTGTACCTGAGGCCAAGAGGTTCAGCTGATAGCCCCATCCAGAAAGGCCTTGGGAGAGACCTGTCACTAGATGGACCAGAAGAGGCAGCCTGCAGCTCCCAGGGGCAGAGTCTAGGAATGGGGTTGGCAAAGCCAAGGATCTTCAGCACGGTGGAACAGGGAGAGCAGAGGGAGGGGCTGGGGGCTTGGAAGCCAGAGTTGTAGGAAGCTGTTTCTAAGGAGACAGGAAGCAAGGGCAGAGGCCTTGGGAGCAAGCTCAGGAGGAGCTGGGAAAGCAATCTGGGATGTGGAGCGGGGCTGGGCTGGGTGTAGTGACAGAGAACTTGGATTTCTTTATGGAGTCTGAGACGGGACCCTTCTAAGCTTAAGCACTGGGAGCTTCTCCCAGCATGGCCAGAGCAGGATGAGATGGGCCAGGAGTCCACCCGTTCCTGGACCCGGGACTAGCTGCGAGCACAGGGTGAAAAGACTCAGGCCTTGAGCTAGTGGGGTCCCGCAAAGGGAGGACTCGAGGGGCTGCCCTTGGGTGCAGCAGTCAGGGCCCTCAGGGTTTGGGGGTGCTCTCGGCAACCAGGTCATCGGGTGGGTGGGCGGCGCCCGCTCACAGCCTGGCTGCGCAGCTGCCAGGGTCCGAGCGGCGAACTGGGGCGCCGCCCCTCCTGGGTCCGGGGGCGGGGCGTGAGGAGGGGGCGCGCGGACCCCGCCCCCGCCGGGAGAGGGGCCAACCTCGCGCCCCCGGTTCCGGTTCCGGTCCGGCCCGCGCCCCTCCCGGACACTCACTGATTCGCGCCTCCAGAGTCTCCGGCTCCATCGCGGGCTCCATCCGCCACGGGCCCCCGCCTCGGCACCGCCCCCCCGCCCCCCGCCGCTCTCGCGGGAACTCCTTGGCCCCGCCCTCGGCCGGTTAAAGGGGCCGCGTCCGCCCGGAGGAGTCGGAACGGTGCGCTGGAGCGCTGGGCACCATCGAGACGCAGACGGGGTCGCCCAGAGCGTCACCTCCTTGCCAACCCCTCCCCCGGGCGGCTGGCAGCTTCGCGGGTGGGATCCGCCGGCGGCCTCGCAGCTCCGGGCGTTCAGGCGGGAAAGGAAGCGGAGAGCCTGGGGTTTGCGGGCGGCACCATAGAAACACCACGGGACGCTCTAACTCGGTCAGCGTCACGCAGATACCCGTGACCGCTTCCGGAACAACGCTCCGGGGCCATGTTTCTGAGGGGCTCTGAAGTCACTTCCGGAGCCCCTAGGGGTACTTCCGCTTAAGTGGGAAAAGTGGCAGTGTCCCTTAAAAGGGCGACTGGGCACAGTGGCCAAAGCGAAAATGACGAAGTTAAGCTAACGTTTGTTTAGCCCTTAATGCCCCAGACATGGGTCTAAGCATTTTTTTTCTTCCCTTTGAGACGAGTTTCACGATGTTGTCCTGGCTGTCCTGGAAATCGCTCTGTAGACCAGGCTGACCCGGAACTCATGAGATCCCTTGATCTCTGCCTCCCAAGTGCCGAGATTAAAGGAGTGCGTCACTACGCCCAGCCGGGGGCTAAGTATTTTTTCCCCATGAATCTATTCCTCAAACCCGGAAGCCAGGTAATGAGTATGCCTGTAATCACCCAAGGGTCAGAGAGCTTGCACCCGGTACTTCCTTCTTGCAAACCCGTGAAGAGCTCAATGCACTTCGATTATTCTGTGACCAGCACTGGAGAGAAAGGCCACAGATATATAGCCCACAAGGTGATGAGGAGCTGGGCGTGCTCTCACACGTCATAACGCCGGCACTTGTCAGACGGAGGCAGGGGATCAACAGTTGAAGTCCGATGGGGAATATCCTATCTCAAAGCACACGACACACACAAGGGAAGCCCGAAGGGTGGTAACAAAATGAGAGGGTCTCATTCCCCAAACTGGGATAGTGACGGAGTCTTGGCTCTTTGGGGGCGGGGGTTCAGGTAGCAACAATGCGAAATACTCCTCCGTTCTCTCACCCGCTTCTTTTCATCCTCTGCGGGTCGCCTTGGGCAGGTCTCAGGAATGCCCAGTCAGTTGCTCTCTGTCGTCCCTGGCGGCCAGCCTGGGAAGTGGCCACTGGTGCCCTCTCCAGCGAGCCCGCGCCAGGGAGAGTTAAAGAGCATCTGAGACCGAGGAACCGGCGAATCCAGTTCCGCGAGCCTGTGGCCTTGGGGAGGGATCTAGATTCACCTTGCAGAACCACAGTGACCTCATTTCAGTCGGTTTTTCAACTGAACCCAGCGTTCTCTGCGACGTGTCATTCTCTGCCGCAACCCATAAGACACAGGAGGGGATATGTGTGTATAGTCCCTCAAGAAAAGCTGGCACGAGATGGGCTTGGCCCTCTTTCTTTCTTTTATTATTGAAATTGTTAATGAAATAAAACCCAAACTGCGTTTGCCCGATTGATTTAGAGTCAGATCGCCCATTCACAGGCACTTTTGGGAGTGGGGGGAGGCGCCAGAGGCAGGGTCTTATGTAGCCTAGGCAGGACTTGAACTTCTCTGATCCTCTTTTTGCCACCTCAGAGTGTACCACCACACCTGCAAGGGATTAGGGCTTTCTGAGCTAAGCAAATACTCCACCAATAGAGCAACATCTCTCTAGTCACCTCAGTTTCCATTTCTCTTCAGACGAAACCTTTTTTTTTTTTTAAAGATTTATTTTATGTGCATTGGTGTTTTGCCTGCATATGTGTCTGTGTGGGGGTGCCAGATTCCCTGGAACTGGTGTTACAAAGGCAATTGTGAGCTGCCATGTGGGTGCTGGGAATTGAACCTGGGTCCCCTGGAAGAGCAACCAGTGCTCTTAACCGCTGAGCCATCTCTCCAGCCCCCAGACAAAGTCTTTTTAGCCCAAGCTGATGATTTATATGGTGCTGGGGATTGAACCTAAGACATTTCATACATACATGATAGGCAGACACTTTACCAACTGGGCTCTACCCACAGTCCCCTGCTATGTATTTCTTTGCATGCTTATGGTTTGTGTCTCTCCCCATCCAGAACCTTAACTGTCTAGGAAACTTCATCCCCGAGGAAATGCATCTGGTGAATCTCTGTCTGAGTTTCTTTTCCCATTGCTGTGATAAAATACTCTGACAAGGTGGCGGTGGTGGCGAATGCCTTTAGTCCCAGCACTTTTGAGGCAGAGCCAGGCGGATCTCTGTGAGTTCGAGGCCAGCCTGGTCTCCAAAGCGAGTTCCAGGAAAGGCGCAAAACTACACAGAAAAACCCTGTCTTGAAAAAACAACAACAACAAAAAAATACAAACACATCTTAGGCCGGGCGGTGGTGGCGCACGCCTTTAATCCCAGCACTCGGGAGGCAGAGCCAGGCGGATCTCTGTGAGTTCGAGGCCAGCCTGGGCTACCAAGTGAGTTCCAGGAAAGGCGCAAAGCTACACAGAGAAACCCTGTCTCGAAAAAACCAAAAAAAAAAAAAAAAAAAAAACAAACTCTGACAAAAGCAATTTAAAGGGGACAGGCTTTGTTCTGGCCCTCAGTTCAAGGGTGCAGTCCATCTTGGTGGAACCTGAAGGAACTGGCCACATCACATCCGCACCTGGGAAACAGTGAGAGTGCTGAATCCAAGCTGCCGCTCAGCTCCCTTTTTCCATGTACACAGTCCAGGATCCTAATAGGGGATGGTGCCACCCACAGTGGGCAGATCTTCCTGCCTCCATATACTCAGTCAAGATAATCTTCCCAAGGCATGCCCAGCAGCTCATCACCCAGGTGCTTTAGATCTGTGGAGTTGACAGTGCTAATTACCACAATCTCCTGAAACCTAAGGCATTTGCTGGTGTCCAGAAGGTGCTGGGGCTCAGAGCCTGGTGCCGCAAATCGTGGCACCTGCCCACGTTGAAGGAGTCTCAGAGTTGGCACAGAACGTCCAGACACCAAATTCTCAGCACAGACGAGATTTTATTTACCTGGGAGGGGACAAGCAGGGGTGCTGCCTCTGCATCAGGCAGAGACAGCAGCAAATGTCTTTGCAGAAGTGGTTTTTAAGGAGAAAAGGATGTCTGTTAGGATGAGTTGGTAAGTCCTGACTGGGCATGTTAGAATAGCCAAATAATGAACTTCGGGGCTGGACCTTGGCGTTTTGATAGTTGGACCTTGGTGATCAGCCTCAGGAATGGATTAGACATAAGGAAGTGGCCAAATAAGAGAATAGGCCTGGGTGGTCAGCTTTAGGAATGTAATCTAATGGTTTAGCAAGTGGAGAGGGCAAGACCTGCTGGCGCCATGTTTGCCGTGCCCGGGCCTTTAGAAAGCCCTCTACACATTGCATGTGGATCTGAAGAAAACCGGAAAGAGGCCTACTCACCTCCTGCCATCCTTTCTCCCTTCCTTCTCTCTTTCCCTCCAGGCAGACCACAGAAACTAGAATTCCTCACACCCAAAGTGAGTCATAGAAACTAGCACCCCCTATCTAAAGCCTGTTCACAAACCTGGCCCTCCGCAAACTCCCCAGCCTTTTTGGGGAAGAGGTGCTCTCATCTATCTGCATACCTCTAATAGTAGGCTACAAGACCTTCATCTCAGAGGGGGCCTGCCTCACACCCTGGAGGAAGAAGGACAGCTGGGCTTCCCCATCATACCCTGGAGGAAGAAGGGCAGCTGGGCTTCCCCATCACACCCTGGAGGAAGAAGGGCAGCTGGGCCTTGCTGGGCCTCCCCATCACCCTCTCCATCAGACCACACTCTTGCCCAGTTGCATTCTGCATGGCTGTTTCTGCTTCATCAAACGGGAGCATGAAAATGGAGAGCTCACTCAGGGTCTTCGGGCCTTCCTTCTAAAGTGACCTGTCATAGAAAACTGATTAAATAAATTCGTTACACTTCCATCCTGTGGATCTGTCTTGGTCAGTTTTATTTCAGACCTAGCCAGGAACTCCAGGAAGGCTGAGGAAGCTTCTCCTCCCCTGCCATGTTCGATAAATATGCACTGAAAAAAATGAATGCCAGTGTCCAGCTCTCTGCAGTGAGCTACGGCGGGGCAGAGGGCATTGGATCCTCTGGAACAGGAGTTACAGACTGTTACAGATTGTGAGCTCTGCTCTTGCAGGGGACCCAAGTACAGTTCCTGGCACTCCATTGGTTGACTCCAGTTACTCCAGCCCCAGGAGGATATGACACCTCTGGCCTTCTGCACTCATGTGTACACACACACACTTAAAATCTTTATAGTGGCGCATGCCTTTAATCCCAGCACTTGGGAGGCAGATCTCCAAGAGTTAGAGGCCAGCCTGGTCTATAAAGCAAGTTGTAGGATAACCAAGGCTACATAGACACTGTGTCAAACAAAACAAATCTTACGAATATCATTGCATGCTTATTTACATGTGTATGTATACAACATGGCCCATGTGTGGAAGACAGTGGACAACTTTCAGGAGTGGATCCTTCTACCTTACCAGGGGATCCAGACTCAGGTAATCTGCTTGGTGGCTGGTGCATTTATTCAGAGTCATCCTGCTGGCTCCACACCAGCTTTAGGTGGTGCTGGCCACTAAACCTAGGGCTTTGTTACGTGCTAGACAAGTCCTCTATCCACCGAGCCTCATCCCCAGTCTGACATTTAATCATCCCAGTGAAGGACAGCTGTGAACAGCAGCAAGCGCGGGGGTTTGACCCAGTCCTTGCTCTTCCCTTCCCCGAGCACGGAGGTAACTGCAGAGCACCTGCCTTCACCCCCCTCGCTTGCCAGATCTGCACACTAGCCCTTTGTCTCCCTGCCACCTTGCAGGACAAGGAGTCCAAGGACAGCAGGAAACACTTGGAGAAGCTTTGAGAAAGGACTTCCTTGTCTTTCTGTCACACTCACAGCTGCTGGGGGCTGGAACAGTTGCCACAGATGTAGAGAATCTTAGAGTTGGCAGACATCTTTGGCCTCGTCTATGTATCCAGAGAGTTTGGATCTTTTTAAAAAACAGATGTTCAGGGTGAGAAATTCGTTAATAAGATGAGGTGAAGTTCAAGTTTTTCCGGAGCTTGAAGTTTATCAACAATTTAGGGACATCTTAAAAGACATTGAGGCCAGCCTGGTCTACATAAGAGGGTTTCAGGTCAGCCAAGACTCCACCGGGAGTACTCCTGTCCCTCTCCCCACCCCCACAAAGATGCCTCCAAGCTCAGCATTCTGGAGGCAGAGGCAGGCGGATCTCTGTGAGTTCCAGGCCAGCCTGGTCTACAAAGCAAGTTCCAGGACAGCGGGGGTTTACACAGAGAAATCTTGTCTTTATAATAATAATAATAATAATAATAATTTATTATAACAATAAAAATCTTTAAAAATAAAATTGTAAACAAAAATAATTTTTGAGTGCAAACATACACTTGTTTAGAATGAGAAACAAATTTCTATAGATATGACCTTTGGAGCTGCACATGGTGGTTTTAGCACTTTGGAGGCTGAGACAGGAGGATCACTGTGGGTTTGAGGGTAGCCTGAGCTACATAGTGAATTCCAGGACAGCTTGAGCTACAGAATCTTGTAGATGAAATTCTAAACGGTCTTATTAAATAAGAAACACAGAGCCAAATACAGAGTTAAAAGCCCAAGAGGTCAGAGCACTAGCGAATAGCCTTTAGCTTACCACTCACTGCCGTCCTTCCCCTGAGAGAGAGACCTTCTCCTGTGTGACCTGTCTTTTTATTGCCTTTCTGTTCTACTGTCTCATTGGCTCTAAACCCAACTAAACCCAAGCACATGATTTCCTCGTCACTGCCTGTCTATATAGACCTCCAGGTCTCTTTGGTTGGTACTGGGATTAAAGGTTAGGGTCACCGCTTGGCTGTGTCCTTGACCACACAGAGACTCTGCCTGCCATGTGATGGGATTAAGGGCGTGTGCCACCACTGCCAGACTTCTGCTAAATGGCTTGCTTTTAGCTCTGATCTCCAGGCAACTTTTTTTTATTAACATACAAATAAAATCACATTTCAGCACAAATAAAATATCACCATAGAATCTTATCTAAAATCTTATCTCAAATCAGCACACAGGACACGAAAATAGAACCCAAGGCCAAACCCAGGCTAACCTACAAACGTGTGGGTTTTTGTTGTTGTTTCTTTGGTTTTTTTTTTTTTGTTTGTTTGTTTTGTTTTGTTTTTAGGAGACATGTTTTTACTAGACATGTGGCTAGTCTCTAGTTTTCTAACTTGGTCTTTCTACCTTAGTCTCCCAAATTCTGGGGTTACGGCTTGTGTACCCTCGTTTGTGATAATCAGAACAAGTCTATTACAATCAGAACATTTAATCAGAACAAGATTTTTTTCCTCTGCCTCCCTGCCATGCTCTTAATTCTTTTGTGCATTTTTTTTGTGTGGCGTGCTTGTCATCTAGCAAGGATTTCATTGTATTTCCCACGAAGAGAAAGATCAACCAGCCTTCGTGGACAGTTGATCAAAAATGTTTTGGGCTGGTGGCTGAGCTGTGAGGGCACTCACAGCCAAGGCTGACAGGCTGATGACCAGGCCCGGGTCCCACACGGTGGAAGGAGGGAACTGACTCCTTTGAGTTGTCCTTTGACCTCCACACAGGACACTCAAGCACCCCCACCCCATCACAATAATAAATAAGTTATAAATGGCCACCCCAGAATTGCTGTGTTCCTTCCCTCTGTCCCATGGGACACTTGAAGCTGCCTGTCCCGGCAGGGCTGGAATCTGGGTTATGTGAGAGCCCTCTCTGTCTGCTTCCTACATCGCTCCTAGGCCCGGCTCCCAGCAGAGGCTGCAAAGAATGGAAGCAAATAACTGGTCCAAATCTGATTCACACCCATGACTTTCTCCTCAGTCTCCTAGATCTGAACCCATAACCCTCTTAGGCCTAGGAACTGCATACAGCCTTGGTGATGGATTGGGCAAACTGGGCACCCTTCGGATCACCAAGCCCAGAAATTCAGCCCATTTTAATCTGGCAAAGTCCTCCCCCTAGTGCGGCTCATGTCTTTGTCTAATTTACACAGAAGGGCTGGTGACCTAGCATGAGTCATGCCTGGATCTGCCCGGGTAAGGGAGCTAGTGTCTCTGAGTGTCGGTTTGTTCATCTGTAGAATGGAGACAGTAACACATACTTCAAGAAATGTTGTGAGTAGCCAGGCCTGATGACACAGGTCTGTCATTCCAGGGACTCAGGACATCTTCCCTGGACTAGAGTGGGTTCAAGGCCAGCATGGTGACATAGTTAGATCTTGTTTCTAAATAAAAACATAGAAAGCCGGGCGGTGGTGGCGCACACCCTTAATCCCAGCACTCGGGAGGCAGAGCCAGGCGGATCTCTGTGAGTTCGAGGCCGGCCTGGGCTACCAAGTGAGTCCCAGGAAAGGCGCAAAGCTACACAGAGAAACCCTGTCTCGAAAAACCAAAAAAAAAACAAAACAAAACAAAACAAAAAAACATAGAAAAAATGCTGGGGGTATAACTGAATGGTAGGGCCCCTGCCTAGCAAGTGTGAGGCCCTAAGTTTGATCTCCAGTATTGGTGGATGCTCTTTCCAGAAATCATCATCCAAAGTACTAAGTTCAAGGATCACCATGCAGCTTCACTTACAAAAGCCGGGGATTAGAAACAACCTAAGTGGGCTGGTGAGCTGACTCAGCGGGTAAAGGTGCTTGCCGCCAAGCCCGAGGGCCTGAGTTTGATCTCTAGAACCATATAATGGAGAGAACAGACTCCAGAAAGTAGTCCTCTGGCCTCCACAGCTGGGGTGGGATACAAGGACATGTACACACACACACACACACACACACACACACACACACACACACACTACAATGAAAGAAAGAAAAACACAATCCAGGAATCCATTATTGGAGACTGGCTCCACACAGCCCAGGGTAGGGGCTGGAGAGATAACTCTGTAGTTAAGAGCATTGGCTGGGTTCAATTCCCAGCATCCATGTCAGCTCACAACAGTTCTGACCTCCACAAGCACCAGACATACACGTGGTCTACACATACACACGCAGGCACAATACTCATACACATACCATAAGATTACAAAACAAAACGAAATGGTCCAGGGTAGATGTGGAACAGTTTTCAGGATATATTGTTCTTACGTATTTGTGTACTGTTTGGGTCTCAGGCAGCCCAGGCTAGTCTAGAACCTGTTACATACCTAAGACTGATCTGACTGTTCTGTCTCTACTTCCTGAGTTCTGGGATTCTAGGCGTGCATCACCACATCAGATTAAAAAGGGAAAGAACCCAGATACAGCATAGCATGTGTACTTGTGCTTTCCTGTGTGGCTGTTAAATGTTCCTGGAAGGAAGCATGAGATGGTGTGGGATCCGGGTACCTGGAGGCTGAGGTAAAACTTGTTTGTGCTTTTAAGCTGAGTGTAGTGGTTTGAATGAGAATGGCCCCCATAGGCTCACATATTTGAATGCTTGGTCCCCAGCTAGTGGAACTGTTTGGGAAGAATTAGGAGGTGTGGCCTTGTTGGGGGAGGTGTGTTCCAGGGTGTGGGGTGGGCTTTGAGGTTTCAAAAGCCTAGGCCAGGCCCGGTGTCTCTTTCTCTCCCTTCCTGCAGACCAGAATACAGAGGTCTCAGCTACTGCTCCAGTGCCATGTCTGTCTGCTTCCTGCCATGATAATCACGGACTAACCCTCTGAAACTGTAAGCAAGTCTCCAATTAAATGCTTTTCTTTTATAAGGGTGATGGTGTCCCTTCACAGAACAAGACTGTTCTGTGTAAGGCATTTTTCCCTTTGTAAAAACGAGTTGTTTTATTATCTTTTTAGGTATATTTGCATGCATGTGCGGGTGCCCTTGGAGGCCAGAAGAGGGCGTCAGATCACCTAAGCTGCAATTACATATGGCTCTGAGTCACC